AAAGATGGCGAAATAAAGCTGACAGAGAATCATCAAATGAGGTTTGTGATACTCATTCTATTTTTTGTTAGAAAGATATTTTAATGAAATTATAAGGAAAATAGTATTAGATAATAAAAAAAAATATTTTATGATTATAAAACAGTAAAACTAAATAATAATTATAAGAGAAAGAATGAATAATAATAATAATAATAATAATAATAATAATAATAATACCAAGCACACATATTGAAAAATTATGTTAGTCCAAAATTCAGAATTCTGTGATAAATATCCAGAAACAATTTACCATCTTGTATCAGGTTGCATGGTATTGACACTCACTGCATATAAAACCCGGCATGACAGAGTGGGCGAATATCTGCATTGGAAAATCTTAAAATTTTACGGAAAGGAAACTAAAAAAAAAAAAAAAAAAAATGGTGTAATCACCATCCAGACCCGTTTACAGAAATTGGATCTTTAACAATTTTATGTGACTTTACAATACACACAGACGGAACAATCAAAGCTAATCGCCCAGACATCGTGATCAGAGACCACAAAAACAAAATGCACCTTCTTATTGGCATGACAGTCTTTACAGACTGTAATGTATCTTTGAAGATCTTCCAAAAATTATCAAAATACAAGGACCTTGAAATTGAAATCTCAACAATGTGGCACATGAGGACATTAACAATTCTAGTTATAGTTAGAGCCCTCGGATTGATTGGAAAAGATTTCGATAGACTCACTGAAGGGATTCCTGGTAGCCAACGCCTTAAAAATACAAAACATTTTACTCATAAGTACAGCTAATACCTTACGAAGAGGTTTATCTATGTAAAATATGTGTGATCTTAGGTTTTATCCCCTCAAAAAATCTTCAGTGTGAAATGTCATATGCCATCTTTGATCTTAGGTCTCCGTTTGGGACCCGGAAAGAAATGCGTATACAACAGAAATCAAACGAAATATTAATAATAATAATAATAAAAATAACAAAAATAATAATAAATGAATATTATGTAAATAACATGATGAGACGATAGATCACTTGGTGTCTGGTTGTCCAATCTTAACGCCGAAGGAATCCAAAGACTGACATGATAAAATCGGACAGTATATTCATTAGAAGAAATGCCAATATTACATTGTGCCACGCACTGAAAATGGTATGAAAATTACCCTGAACCAGTTATAGAAAGCCATTACTACTCTTTAAGACTTTACCATTTATACTGAGACATATAAAAGCTAGTAGACTAGATGTCATGATTAAAGACCGCAAAACTGTCTTCTCACATATATAGCCTTAGCATCATGTAAAAATATATATCTGTTAAAGAATATGACAAGTATAAAGATTTTGAAATTGAAAAAGGTGGCACCTTAATGCTACTGTTATACTTGTAATAATTGGAGCTGTGCGTACGATTAAAAAAGGGACAGATAAGAATATGGCCTACCAGGCCATGTTCTTATCTGTCCCTTTACAAGAGATTAAATACTGTACTGCTCATCCACTCAGAAGAGTATTATTAATATAATGAATTATAAACATTGTACATGCTAAGTCCCACTTAACATCACCGTTTGTACAAACAGAATGCATATATTTACTGCCTTACTTTAGGTTTTGGGTAATAACGAGGCAAGGGATTGTACTAAACAGAAAGCAAATAATAATAATATTAATACTAATAATACCAAAGCTTTTATAACAAAATTAATCACCCTGAGATCAGTATTAGAGACCGCAAAGACAAAATGTGATCCTTATTGAAATGGCGGTCCCTGCAGACTGTAATGTATCTATGAAGATCTTAAAAAAAAAATATCAAAATACAAGAACCTTAAAATCGAAATCTCAAAAATGGATATTTCATTAGCTCAAAGTTGAAGGGGAAGCGTATGATTACATGATAGTCATTGTTTGTCCTCCTAACACATACAGCACATCTTGGGCAGGCTTTTGGCCTTCATGATAGAAACTTGTTCTAACCAGAGTCCATATTTCAACAGCATGGTCTCAGTGGTAATGACACTCGACTTTTCTAGGACTTCAACGCTGGAGATGAAGTCATTCCAATAAATTTTGAGGATGTTGCGGCGGCAGTGATGGTGGAAGCCCTGACGGAGTCTCGTAGGTAACGATTAGTGACTTACGACTCAGGGTTTGTATATGAAGAGAGTTCGGACAACGGGTTTATATACACTGATCTTAGAGCTTGTCTTCAGGTGTTTGTTGGTCTAGACTCGTTTATATAATCTGTTTGCTTTGGTCAGTCTACTGTTGATCTTTTTTTTTATTGGCAGCTGATGAAATGATGAAGTAACTGCAATATAGAAAATTGGGACGAAAAACTTTTGATGATAAAAAAAGAAAAAAAAATGAATATGAAGATTATGAAGAGAGGTACTATAGAGATATTTTATTTTCAAAAATCTTTTTTTCCAATTGTCCAAAATATCAGGTAAAATAACAAATGCGGCAAATTCTTCAAACGGACGTGAGAGGAATGCAGGCAAAGGTGACTTCCATATGTCTTTTCTAGAAATATTTTCATGGTAATTGTTCTCATGAGCTTTCCTCTTTGGTACCCCGACCGCATGAATTTAAGATTATTACTAGATTGCCATCTAGTTCTCATCATTTTATTGTTGAAATAGCTTGATGAAACCGTAAGTTTTATTTTAATAGTTCCTTCCCTCATACTTCGTTCCTGTGCAACTCTCATCCAGTTCTTGCTTCTTTGTCACCTACAATCTTCTAAAATGAAATGCAACATCAATCGCCATCTTTTGTATTCCTGAATTTTGTTCTTTTATTGTCCTTTTTCATCACAGACGTTTTCTCGTCTTCTTTCCGCCTTAGTAACCTCTTGCCTCCTGGTAGCATTATCGCATTGCTTTGGGTGAAATAATTAAAAAATATGGTATGACAGTAGTTTGTAGAGCACTCGAACTTATTAAAAATAATGTCGAAGAATGGCATTGTGAAAAAATGATCCCTAGAAAGAAACTGCTAAAAACCATCAAATTCTTTTAAGTATCGTATTTGCCAGTCTGCTAGATGCAGATTTTACAAGAGTGTTTTTCGCGACACTGCAATCCATTTAGATCCAACTAGATATGCAAATTGAGTCTTCGGTTATCATCCCACCACCATAATATAATAAAATCAATGGATGTCGTTTAATATTTAGATTGTTTTTTTTACGTCGATGTGACTGCATCTTATAGACAGTTAGAAACAAAAATAAGTCCCGGCCTAAGAGTAGTTTAACTCGGTGAACTGATAAAGGTATTATGCATTTATTTACTTCTAGGAGGTGCGTGGTGACTTAACGGTTATCCGTACAGAAAATGGAAATCGGGGAGATGAGTTCAGATTTCGGTTGAGACAGTTTGTGCTCACTCCGTACTAATCCCCAGGAAAAAGATATGAATTTATATCACCCAATAGGTTGGATTAAAAATTATTTTCCCGCTGATCGATCTCCTGCTATTAGCGAATAAAGAGATCTTTATATTTTAAAGAAAAGACTAAAAAAGAGCAGAATACTGCTTGGCCGCCTCGGGTCGTTGAGATATGGAGAAAGAGCACCAAACCTAAGGACTGGACTCGGTGTGTGCGAGCTGATCTCTACTATAAACTATTAGTGTAACCGAGAAAAAGGGCAATTGACTTAAAACATTATAATCAAGTTAAACGAAACGGTTAAATGTAACCGTCTCTTCTACTCAAACAGCTTCTTCTCTCGCACTTCCCGTCTGTGGAACTCCCTTCCTCTTACTTGCTTCCCAGATAACTATAATCTTCAAATATTCAAGTGTAATGTCAATCTACATCGTCTGATACCTTGATCTTGTTCCCCGTCCTTCTCTGTATCCCTTCCTCAAACCCGCCTCTTTACTCTTGTTTTCAATCTTCTGTAAGTGCTAGTGGCACTCCTGTTTTGGTTGGGGTGAATTGCTTTAAAAAAGTATTGAATCGTCAAGAATTTTTATTGAAGAATGAAAATTTGTGCTTAAAACATTGGAAAGGGTTTGAGAAAGCAGCTCCTGTAGTAGATTGTACTTGATGAGAATGCTGGCGGTGGAAGATAGCTTCTGAACATGTAGGTTTTACAATTGGACATTTTCACAGTAACAAACATAACTAGTAGGAAAGGAATATTGATATTTACTGAGCTTAATCTAGCTAGACAAAACTGTAACGAATTTCTTAAAGATGGAAACTGATACAAGCTACAATACTAATTCAATGTGATGCAACGGTTATTGGTGAGGAAAATGGAGTCGGCAGACCAAGTTCGAATTCCAGCCGATTCTATTGTAGTCACTCCGCACTTACGAAAGATATAAATTCCTCACTTCTTGCCCTCAGCTATGGGTTAAATGGTAGGGTAGAATGATCTCTTTAGCATTAAGAGGGTAAGGATGTAATAAGGATAATTCTGAAACCGCCTTTTTTTATATGACTGGGAGCGAAGGGAATATTTAGATATGGTAAAGGAGGGGGAAACGTAGAAGAATCAGCAATATTATTGGTCCTGAATTGGCGTCTCGGCTTCAGTCACTTTCGCGCCGTTTTAAATTTGCCTCGCTGTACCTTTACTATAAATATTTTCATGGTAATTCTTCAGGTGAGCTTTTCGATATGGTACTTAGACTTTATGAATTTAAACAATGTACTAGACTCTCTACGAGGTTACATAAATTTACAGTTGAGTTGGCTAGGTGTCACCGCAGGCTCTATGTTAACAGTCTCTTTTCTCGCAAATTTCGCTTGTGGAACTCCCTTTCCAGTCAACTTTAATGTTGAAAAAATTAAATGCAATGTCAATCGTTATCTGCTGTTTTCCTGATTACTCTTCTTTTGTTCTTCCTTAGTAATGTTTTTTTTTCTTTTTAATTCTTCCATGTCCAGTAAGACCTCCTTTCTTAGTCACTTTACTGCCTTGCTTGGGGAGAACTCGATTAAAAAATGTAAACAGATATCGACAGAATCAACTAGATACCAACAGATAGATATGAACTGAGATAGATAGATAGATAGATTGATAGATAATTAACTGAATGAAATATAAACTTAGATAGATAGATCGATACATAGATAGATATGAACTAAATGAGATGTGAACTTATGGACAGAGTGAGATAGATATAAAGTGAGATAGATATTAACTGAATGGGATGTGAACTTAGATAGATAGATAGATAGATAGATAGATAGATAGATAGATAGATAGATAGAAGCTGGGTGAGATGTGAACTTAGACAGATATGGATAGAGTGGGATAGATATGAAATTAGATAGATAGATAGATAGATAGATAGGAGCTTAGATGTGAACTTAGATATGGATAGAGTGGGATAAATATTAATTGAGATAGATAGATAGATAGATAGAAGAATGGGGAGCAAATGAAAAAAAAATTCTAAGCGAAGGGAATCGTTAGATATGGTAAGGAAGGAGATAAGGTAGAGCAATAGAAAAAAGAGAAAATCGGAATCTTAGAAAACAATAAGAAAAACAGCCGAGTCTAATCGATGCCCAATGAGTAAAGTTTCAGTTGATAACTTCAGTTTCTCGCCATAATGAAAACTCACCGTGGAACTTGGTCATCCGCTTGCGAACGCGCATTCTTCACCGGATATGACGCCTTGGGCATCCTGCATGCATCGGTCAGCATCCCATGGTGGCATGATGTAATTAACTGAGGAATTCCGCAACGATCGTTGATGAGAACTTGACACCAAACATGACCCTATAGAGCAACCCCCCTCCACTCGGAGGAGTCGTAAGCACAGTGGGCACCCGACTCACAGTATCATTTACATCCCCACTCTCTCTTCTGACCACGCAGTCTTTAATGTACTTTTCTAATGAATCATTTCCTCTCAGAAGCCGTCCATATTTGTCCGGATGGTTTTCCGATCTCCTTCACGTCACTTGTTCGTTGCGTTGTCGGTTGACAATGTAAAGTGCTTATATTGCCTGTATACCACTTTCATATCTAGTATGACAGGAATAGGCGACTATTCCTTCTTCTACCCGATAACACCTTTTCTTTTCCATTGGCACTTCCCACCCTCGTTTCGCCTTCTCCCTTTCTCGAGAGCTGATCACATATTGACACCGTAGACTTTATTAAATTGATGAATTAATAAGGCAAGCCAGGGATTGTTCAATGACGTGTAGAAACGGGCACGTTATTGCCTAAGTAAGTGCGTTTGAAAATGTCTGTGATGGGCGAAGTGAATTAGATTGGAAAGCGAACGTTGTCTGAATGTGTTGGAAGAAAGAAGATAATCTCTGAACGTCTTTTCGAACAGATAAAAAATCGACCTTCTCGTGTATAGAAACAAGAAGCGACTGCTAAAATGAAGTTGTTTCTTTTAGTTTATTGAAGTTTATTAGTTTTCATATCACTGTAAATATATATTGATTTAAGTTAATTTCAGCATGAGGCCAAACGCTAGAGTTAAAGCTGAATGCTGACCATCGTTCTAAAGCGTATTATGAGTGTTACAAAAATATCCCTGTTTATCGAAGCTGTTCCATGTACCCAGGGTAGTTAATACGTTGTAGGGTACTGCGTATACTGACCATTTCTTGTTCATATGTCTATAGGTGATCACATGACTTTTGCTCGATTTTGTAGGCAGCGGACAATCCCTTTCTTTACACTGTATGGGTGGTGGGAGTTGAAGTTTAGGCATTGTCCGGTAAATGGCTTGCTGTATAGGGATATCTTGAATCCATGCTCTGTTCGAGATATCAGTGCATCCAGGAATGCAAGTTTGTTGTTGATTTCTCTCTCCACTGTGAACTCTATCGATGATCTTACTGAGTTCACGTGGCCCACTAGAGGCTGGACCTCTTCCTGTTGTGGTCAGAGTATGAAGGTGTCATCTACATATCTCAACTATAGAGTTGGCTTTAGTGATGTTGATTTTAATGACATTTCCTCGAAGTATTCTGTGTATATGTCAGTTATTGCTGGTAATAATGGAGAACTCATTGCTAAACCTTCATCCTGCCGAAATATACCTGATCCCATTCGTAAGTGTGTTGTTTGTGTACAGAAAGTCAGTATCTTCATCAGGTTCTCTATTGGTAGTCTGGTCCGTTCTTCTAGGGATGAGTCCGAGGCCAGTCTGTTCCTGACGACCGATAGTGACTCCCCTATGCAAATTCACCACGTCCAGGCTCACCATCTGGTTGGTTTGGATGGGGTCATATTTTATTATTTCCACGAAGTGGGCGGGGTTTCAGATATATGATGTTGACTTTCCTATTAATGAGTTAATTATAACCTCAAAAAAGCGACTAAGAGGGTGGATATATTGGAAATAAACCTTTTCATTTTCGGTCCAGTCGGTGAAGGACTGAGAGAGAACTGAGGTCGTATGTTTACAAATGCAGTAAAAAAAAAAAATCAATCTAGATAAATAATTAAAATCATTTGTACCATAATGGTAATATTAGACGAACGAGGAAACACTCGAAATTCATTGATCAAGTTGCCAACTATCTGTTGAAATTTATAATATCTTTCTATTAATTTTTTTTTCACAAAATCAGTTACACAAATTCACTACTTTCCAGTATTGGAGTTTTCTTCGTAACCTTTTATCCGAAGGAGCGTGGAACATAAATATCTTGATTATGTCTTTATTTTCTGTAAGAGTTAAAATGTGTTATCCATTTTAGTTTTTGCTATTGTTGAAAATCATTGTAGGTGACAAGGAAGCAAGAAAGCAGGATGGAGTTAAACAGGCGGGAAATGCGAGAAAAGAATCTATTGGAACAGAACTTACAGTTACATCTTGCTATTTCAACAGCCAAACCTCATTGCCAATCTAGTTGTATGCTTAAATTGATGAAGTCGAGGTATCAAGGAGGAGAGCTCAGAATAATTGTCATGAAAATATTTGTAGGAAAGACAGATGGAAGACACGTCACGACAGTGAGAAATTGACTGAAGTCAAGATGCCAGGTCAGGATCAGTTACATTACAAACCCATCTTTGTATTTTGTCAAGGATCTTGATATATATAGTAGGAGCACTAGACCAAATTTCGCTGCAATATTCAATGCACAGGCAAATGATAGATTTTTCAATGTGCAAGATGGAATCTGACGAGAAAAAAATGTCCGTCCATATCTAATTGTTCTCTCTATTTTATTCTGCACTTAGTGCAATTACATCGACGGCTAAAAAGTTTCTTTGCGATTATTTTCTCCCGCCATTCAAGTCTTGTACAAGGTTAAGTTTCCCTTCCCTTACTCAATCATTAGGGCTACACGCATGTCAGCAGTCATAACGTTCACCTGTTAAAACTCCGTTATTAGCTTGTTTATTGCGTTTAAATTTGTTGTAGGGAGCTGAACTTACTGATGACTTCCCAGCAAAGCACACCCTACACAGAAACACACATATTTAAATAACTTATATTCTTCTTTTATATGCCGTCTCCCTACAGAACCTTGGCGATCATAGCTCTTTACAACTTCCTATTCTGCTTGACTCTTTGTTCTGCTATCTATTTACACGAGTTTCTTATGTAGGTTACTCGCTGTTTACCCTCTGTATTTCGTGCTTTCAATGTCTTGCGAGTGTCAATTTCCAAGGTTTATTTCCTCATTATGTATCACAGAAACTTCAACCATCTTTTCCTGATTTTAAGTACAAGTATACTTTTTATTTCCATTTTCCTTAAACCTTCCTCGTTTCTGGGATAATCCGACTATAGTATTTTTAGCACCTGTTTTTAGAACCATATTCCTGTTGCTTCAGGTCCGTTCTTCATCTGTCCAGCATTCTTTGCCATATAAGGAGATTGATATTACATAGCCGGTCAGTACGCTTTTCCTTGTTTCTAATTTTCCTATTTCTTAATACCGTGGAACCTCGGTTCACGAATTTAATTCGTTCCTGAAGGCCGTTCGTAAACCGAAACTCTTTTCCCAATAGGAAACAATGACGAAAAAAAAAAGTCACAGTACAAAAAATTGGAAAAAAAACACAACACAACTCACGAATGTATACAACATGGCGGTCGACTCAGAAATTATTCCGTTTGAGTTAACTAGGTTCGGCAAAGTTGTTCGAGAACCGAAATTTTTTTCGATAACCGAGGCATTTTCATTTCGGATTTTCTGTTCGAAAACCGATTTGTTCAACATGTGAGACGTTCGAGAACCGAGTTTACTCTGTATTTGGTTCGCTTTTGGAAGGCAGCTTTCGTTATTCCAATGCACCTTTAGTTTTCGGTGTCATATTTTCGGTCATTTGCCAAAACGACGCATATGCATAAATATTCTTTGTTTTTCTCCATTTGCACATAAATATAGTTTCCCGCTGGAATGAGGAGGCTATAAATGAACTCGCGTAGAAAAACGCGTCTTGTCGGAAAGGGAGAGAGAATCAGTTATATTATCTTGTTTAGTATTAGTTTAACTGTCATAAAAGCAGACCGAGGTAACCAAAGGAAAAGCAAAATGGCGGGGTTATATTATTGGGTGGGGAGTTGATTTTATTATTTCCTGATGGCGGTTTTCATTAATTGCACGTTGGCGTGAAATTGCTTACCAGTGTGGAAAATTCGTAATGAAGAGTCCAGTATGGTCATGGCAAAGTTCCAAGGCGAATTAGAATTCTTTAATAAGATTGACTTGTCGCATCTTCTACTGTGTAACACGCTTTTTCATGTTCTCATATTTGTCTAGTTTTTATATATTTCATAAAGTAGACAAATCAAGTAAAACGTCCGAAGACCTTGCATAATTGGGTGATAATAAGAAAAGAAATTACTTTCAATATCTTCAAGACAATATGGTTGTGAGAAAGAGGAACATTCACTTGGAACATTCTACCCCGGTGGACGAAATAAAGGTTTCGGTTCGAAATTCCAATCACCTGAAGAAGGCCGGAGCGTACAACGGCCGAAACGTTGTGAATATGGTAATGAAGATGAGGATAACAGTCCGAATAATGTAAATAATGTAAGTAATGACACCGAAAGTTTCCAAAAGCTAAGCAAAATATATATTGATTGATTCATTCATTTACCTGCTTTCTTCAGCTTATCAACCCATTGCAGTTTATTGAAAACCAAAAAATATTTTTAGATTGTAAGAATTATTTTTAAAGATAACAATGGTTTCATTATAGAAATCTTACTAATTAATCCATAGCTGGGGGAGGAGAGGCGGGTTCATCCATTTCTCAAGTGTATTTGCGTGTATAATCAAAGTTTTAAAAAACAGGAGAATTTAGTTAGAAACAAAAAAAAAAAAAGAGATTGCTGAACTGTTACGTAATATCAGCCCTTCTACATGGCAGTGAATGCTAGACAATCTCCGCACAGATGAAGAGGAGGCTTGAGAAACAGAGATGTGGTTCTACAGAAGGATGTTGAGAACCCCCATTGACTGAACATGTAGAAGTTTTAAGGAAAATAAAACAAAAAAGTGCTTATTTACTTAGAATCAGATAGAGACAGTTGAAAATTCTTGCATAATGCGGAAAGAAGGCTTGGAGAATTTGACACTCACAAGCAATATCGAAGGCAAGAGGGACAGAGGTGATATAGAGAGTAAACTATCTAACTGGCTTGCGTAAATGCACAGCACAAAGGGATAGTAAATAAACATTGCTGAGATCGTGGAGAGCCATGAGCATCCACATTCTGAAGGGACATGGTACATAGAAGAAGAAGAAGAAGAAGAAGAAGAAGAAGAAGAAGAAGAAGAAGAAGAAGAAGAAGAAGAAGCTTAGTCAATAAAATTATCTGTAATTTAGTATTTCATTTTTGAGATGAGTAATGATCAATATTCTTGTATCTTTCGAACTATTGTTCTCATCTTTGACAATATCAGGTGTTCATATCAACGAATCAATGGACACCTGATGATGACCAGTGGGTACTTGGTTGAAACGTTATGTTTATAATAACATCAATAAAAACAAAGATGAAGACAACAGTTCGAAATAATACAAGAATATTGAAAATTGTCTATGTTGGTAACTTTCAGAATACTAAATTGTTTTAGAAATTGTTGTGGTCTGTTTTTCCTTTCTCATTGATACCGGGGATATGTGATCGCGATATTTCTCTGCCCTGTTGGCTGAATGGAGGTGTGAGCCTCCGTTAACCGCAAATTCCAACTCCAGATAAAATTCTTCCCATGTCCAGTATTCCCCGGGTGGTTCATCCCTAACTATCCCGGAAAGCACAAGTCTTGGCATTTCGAATCGCCATCTGCTCTAGTCTCCTCTGCACTTCATCTATCTGTGCAGAGGTCCATGTTTGTATCAGTTTGATTTCCACGTCTGAAACAAGGCCTAGACGACAATTTCCTGCCAGGTGTTTTTGAATGATGCCGGCGTCATTTTCAGGTCAGAACTTGATCGATCAGCACCGAGGTCAATTCTTCTGATTATTATATCACATATGTAAGAATCAGCGGAATTTCCACATTTATGACTAATAACACACACACACACACACACACACACACACACACACACACACAGAGACACGGTAATGGTAATAATAATATTAGCCGTTTCTTTATACGGAAGCATTCGACGTTCATTCACCGATCAGCCAATGCTACTTTCGCTTCATATTTTTAAAATTTTTCTCTTAAAACAATTTTTCAGGAGAATAGTTTTCTCAAGTCCAGTAGCTGTTATTGCTCTTTCCAGTATTGATGAGGGTTTCTTTTTTTTACGTAATGTTGGACATTATAATTTTGATTACATCATTGGTTTCTCTTCGAGTTACGTTTGCTATCTATTTTAGTTCTTGTTGTTGACAGTCCTCAAGTGATCTAGTTTCTGTCATGTGGTACGGTTATTTATGATTCCGTAGCGGCAGGCCATGAGGTTCGAAGAACGATGGTTCTTGCTAAGACCTACATGATTCATTCGCTGGAAGCCATTTTTAAACCTTGATCTGAGACAGTTTAGATATTTCTGAACGATTTTGGCGCCATACATGACATCTAGGTGAAAGGCTTTATTTGACGAGGCTATTTAAGAATAGGATTGGGGGTTTTACGCTAATGTTTTGGTTTTTTAGCAATTTGCGATCTAGGGCAAACAGCCAATTCTATATTCAGCTTCCTTATCTCCTATGCTAAATTTATTATAATTGACCCATACATTGAGGTATTTGAAGTGTTTAGTATTTACTAATTTCGCATCTAGAATTATTATAATGGATTCAGGGTAGGAGATTGACGTGTTGCGCCTTCGGTTAATATTCTCGGCTGACATGAAGTGGAAATACTACACTGAATTCATTGCTAAGTCTGCAACTAACTTCTTACATATCTATAAGTCTACTGTTCGTCCATGCTTGTAATATTCCTGCTACATATGGTCCGGCGCTCTTGCTATATATTTAGAGTTTCTTGATAAAATCCAAAGAATTTGCAATATTATGGGTCCTGATCTAGCGCCTCGGCTTCCGTCACTTTCTCACCGCCGTAAAGTTGCCTTTTCTATAAAGATTTCTTAGCAATTGTTCGGATGAGCTCTTCGCTATGGTACCTAGACTTTATGAATTTAAGCGCAGTACTAGATTGGCAATACGGTCCCATCAGTTTACGGTTGAGTTAGCGTGATGTAATCGTAAGTTCTATGCTAACAGTTTCTTTTCTCGCATTTCTCACTTATAGAACTCTCTTCAGGTTTCCTGCTTTCTGGCCAACTTTGATCTTTCAAAATTTAAATCCAGTGTCAATTGTTATCTACTGTCTTCCTGATTACTCTTCTATTGTTCTCGCTCCTTCATAATGATTCTGTTTTCTAATTATTTCACATCCAGTAACTCATTGTGTCTTAGTGATTTTACTGTCTTGCATATGGCGAATTTGATTAAAAAAAAGAAAAGAAAATTCGCCATCACTGCTTTCATTCCAATTCCAGCACATAGTTGCTGTTTCGGAAAATTTTATATTTCTTGGAACATTTGGTAGTGGGTGTTGATTTTTAATTTAATTGGCGTGACCCCCATCATCATAAATACATTAGTATCGGGAAGGAAAGCAAGAACACTGTTTTTTTTTTTATGTGTATAGTCATTTACAATGAGGCTGGCCGCCCGCTCGTATCCGAATATGTCTACTAGGGCGGCTAGCGAATCCCAGTTGCAGACACCTGCTAAGGCATATTTGTGTTTATTTAAAACTCACAGAGCCCACTTGCAACTATGCTAGGCGAACCTTAAGTATAGCTTCTGGGAGAGGGCGCATTATCTTGTCAGTACGCTCAAATCCGCGGTGATGATGAATTATGACTGCATATTAGCATAACCACTGAGAGCTTCCAGATAGTTCTATATGCCTAATTTAACTCACAAGGTTCGGATCAATCGATTATATAACTTTCATTTTTCTAAATGTGTCACAAGATGGAACCACAGCCCGATAACATTAAGAAGTTACCTTCCTGACAAATCGATCATGGTGTGAGTCAAACTTTGATCGCATGGTTGGAAAGATGAAATGTTGTATGGAATGCCTAAATGCTAATCTCTTCAAATATGTGCTTGTATATTGTTATATATGAATAAAATCTCGCTACCGACACTTGAATTTGAACATATATCGCCCATGAGCAAACACGGGCGATTCCATTATTAAATTAAGCAGACCAGGTGAACACAGTCTTCTAACAGTTCTGTCCTGTTTGCAGCGTGTGTATGGATACCTAAAAATATTACTGATTTGCAATGCACAATGTGTAGACTGAATGCCAAAACTTGCTCAAAAACAGTTTAGACAATATACGCAAAATTCAATGTTTAACCATACATTTTACCTCACGTCAGAAGATATGGAGTAATGGTTAAGTCAGTGGACAGTGAGAAGAAACACTGGAGCCTTGTCAATATATATCAGTTTCAAATGCAGTCGGCATTAAGTTTCGGTTGATTGGTTGGGTTTTATGGCATATCAACCACTGTAGGTCATTTAATGCCAAATTTAGTTACACACACACACACACACACACACACACACACACACACACAGAGGCACACACACAGACACGCACACACACACACATATATATATATATTAAATATATAGTACTAGTAAACGTATAGCTGGCAACATTTGGACGTAGTTTATCCCCCTACCCAGGACGCGGATGTAGTTTATCGTCATACCCAGGACGTGGATATATGCTGGGAAAAACTGGGAGCTCACTATTTGCCAATAGCTGGGACCCTAACAGGTGCTACCACCCCGGGTCAGGGTGGGCCTGGGAACACCAGCAATTAAGAGGTGGTTCCACGCTTCCTCAAAACCTCCTGATCAGAGGCCTTGCTGTTGGATGTAGTTTATCGTCTTACACAGGACGCAGATGCAGTTTATCGTTATACCCAGGACGGATTAAGTTTCGGTTTTTCCATGATAACTGTGTCATTATATATATTTAATCCGTGTAATTAATGTAATTTTAACGTATTTGCTTAATAAATTCTGCCCATAATAACAGGGGATACGTAAGCAGATAGTGAGAATATATGGTAATAAATATAAAAGCGATCATTTTTTGGGTACTTTTTCCATCCTTACGGTAAAATAACAATTATATTTTATGTTCTAATGATTTGTTCTCTTTGCAGATTATTTAATATAAGAATGATTAATTTTGTCTCAATTTTATCATTTTAAAACGTATCAGATATTTTATCCTGAAGGGATTTGACAAGGGCTCTTTTGAAAAGCGGTAAAAAATGTGGAAATGAATCTTTAAGAGTCCGGACATTCCAAGGATAGTTTGATTAGTTTCAATTTGGAAATTTTTCTCTGGAAACTTCCCGTCGATTTAGACGACTAATTCATGTCAATACTAAACTTCTGCAAACCTGAGTTGAGAAAAGGGCAACGGAGAATGGCTCCATTATCCTTTCCACTTAGTCATGGTATTTCATAGTTAATGAAGAAAACGAATCTGTGGAATGCCATGATCCCGTACATCCGGAAGGGATACGACAATTATTTTCTTCTCTAACATCTAGTGTGTGACAATACCGCTTTATAAGTACCTGACTGATCTCCTAGGATTTCCTTTGGTTTGTTAACGAGACTCACCTATATGTTAGCTTAAAATCTTAATTCATCCGTCTGATAGCAAGTCCGTTGCTATCTGGGTTGATTTTACAAATGGCGAATTTTCAGTGTTCATGGAAAGTTGGTTTCTGGCGAGGCCTGATTAGTACTGGCCCTGTGGATCATTTGGTCGGCTATTGATTCGGTCATCTGTCGCCAGCACATAAACAAAGAGGGAGAAAAGACAGTCAACTGGAAATTGTAGTCTCTAAAAGGTGGACGTCGACTTCTCCCTGGTTGTTCTCGCTTTTGTCATTTTGAGTCTCTTTTTTTCTGTCTTGCGCAACTCCCTAATGTTGCAAGCGGGGCACCATACAGAGAAGATAATTAGAGAAAGAAGACAAGTACGTCATGTGACATTGCTTTAGCCGACCGGTGTCAGACACAGCATAGTCTCCCGTGTAGAAATGACCCTAATCGCTAGTTGGACTGCAGGGTTGTAAAGGATAAGTTGGTGGAACAGGAAGGCAACAGAGGATTGATAGAATATATTTAAAGACTGAAAATAAAGTAAAATATAGGAAAGAGAGAGAAAGAGAGCAAAGAGAAGGAGAGAGAGAAGGAGAGAGAGAAGGAGAGAGAGAGGGGGAGCAGAAAAGAAGAAGATTAATAACAGGGAGTTTTTTTAAGTTTATACTTCAAGAAGAAGTTATTGGAAGGAACAAGAGTTTATGAAAGTGTCAAGCGAAAAGTGGAGTGTAGAGAAAAGAAAAGAAAGGAGAGAAAAAAGAATATTCAGAAAAATTTCTCAGTATAGAAAATATTAAAAAGTGAAAAATAAAAAGAGAAAATGGAAGAGATTATGTGAGAATATTAACAAATAATAATATATATATATATATGTTTTTGTGTATATATATATATATATATATATATATATATATATATATATATATATATATATATATTATATATATTTATATATATATATATATATATATATATATATATATATATATATATAAAGAGAGACAGAATAGGAAAGACAGAAAGAAAGAAGAAAAAAAAAAAATGAAGAACGCAGATGGAGGTAGATGTAAGGAAGTAAGGTAAGAAATGAAGGAAAATAAAAATTAAGAAGGAACAAGCTTTTGGAGAGAAGAGTAGTGTGGGCTTTGAAGTATAATTGAACGAGACTCAAAGAGAGATAGATAGATAGATAGATAGATAGATAGATAGATAGATGAACAGACTGAGATAAATAGATAGGTAGATAGATAGATATAATAAGAGCAGGCTGAGATAGATAATAAACAGAAAGTGATAGATAGATAGATAGATAGATAATAAACAGAAAGAGATAGATAGATAGATGGGAGGAAGGAAGAAGTTGTTTAAAAAATAGTAAATAAGGAGAAAAATGAGAAAAGCAGATACATTGGCATAAATGAAAAAACGTGTGGCAAATGGAAAAATCCATTTGAAGGTGAATGAAAGAAAGACAGTTTGAAAAAAGACACTGAAGTTGATGTTTGTGATAGAAAATAAAATAAAATGAAGAAAATAAATAAAATAGAAATAAATTCGCTGATTTGTCGATTTATATGAAACTGAAAGGAGCACAAATATTCGAGTAATTTAAAAAAAGAAGCGAAAAAAGCAGTAATAAGTACGAGGAAGATGAATAAATATTTCTAAAATTAAGAAATATTTAGAATAATAAGCGAAATGAATAGAATTATAAAAAAGGAAAGTGAAAAGCGAAAAAGAGAAAAGAAAAGAGAAAAGGAGACAGAAAAGAAGAAAGAGAAAAAGAAAGAGAAAAGAAAGAGAAATAGAAAAGAAGAAAAAGCGAAAGGAAAAAGGAAAATGATAAAGAGAAAAAGGAATAGTAAAGAAGAAATAGAAAAGAATAAAGAGAAAAAGGAAAGAGAAAAGAAGACAATGAAGAGAAGGAGAAAAAAGTAAAAAGAAAATAAGAAAGGGGAAGAAGGAAAGAAGAAAGAGAATAAAGGAAAGAGAAAAGAAGAAAGAGAAAAGTAAGAGGAAAAGGAAAGAGAAAAGAACAAAGAGAAAAGGAAAGAAGAAAAAGAAAAAAGTAAGGAAAAATAATAAAGGGAATAGGGAGAGTGGATAAAAAATTGGAGACATTCAAAAACTGAGTGAGTAAAAAAGAAAATGAAACAGATTTAAGAGTGAGGAGAAAGAGAAGAAAACAAGCAAAACGCATATAATGCAGGAGAAAAGGAAAAGAGGAGAAAAAGGAGAGACAATGAATGATAGAATAGAAGAAAAAGACAAATGAAAAAAACGATGAGAGTAATGTAACTTGAAAATAAGGAAATGAGTGAACAAAGAAAAAGATGAGAATAAAGATGGCGAAGAAGAAAACGAAACGAATAAAAAACAACAAAAGATGCACAATGCAAGACAGAGTGAGAAAAAAAAGGAGCCACAAATTGGGTAGGAAAGCAAATGTGCGTTAAAAAGAGAGGGTGAGAGATACGTGGGGAGATAACGATGAGTATATGAGTGTGTGTTCCTCGACTAAACGGAAAACATTGTCAGTGTATCTGTGTTTCCAATTCAATATTGAAAAACTGGAGTAGATATTTGCATGCCGTTAATTATTGTGCTTCCTCGGGGCTCAGATTTCACGTCGATTGTGTAAATGTGTTTGTTGAGCAGCTCAGGTTGAACTTCTCACAATAGGCAACCTCCATCATCAAAACCATAGCCGATAATGAGAACAAGAACAAGGATTTGGTCGTCGCAGCCTGTCACCGGCCATATTGTTTTGTCTAACAGAGCCACCGACACAATAGAGACAAAAATGGTCGTAAGACACAGCTGAGTGGGGAAAAGGCATTTGATTTGATAAAGTCGTAGGTCAACGAGTGCCAGTTCACTATTGTTCATTTGATTGTGTGGTTCTGGGAAAGAAACAGGAAAAAAGCGATGTGCAGTTGACGGTCGGAATTAAAATGGTTGACGGCTAAGGGAATTTTTTTTTAACGTATTTACTGAATAAGGATAAATACTATATATATATATATATATATATATATATATATATATATATATATATATATATACACAAATTAAAACATTCACTCAAACACATAAATCACCTACTGTATGCGATGGATAAATTGTCGCTATTTTATTTTTTATTTCGTGCATTGTTTGTTTTTGATTTTGTCGAGTACACAGTATAGTAGGGTCAATTAGGCATCGTCTGTAAGATATAGAGCCCCATGACGCAATCCACTCTGTCGTAAATTTGGAAACGGCATGCTGTACTGTTTGGAATTCACGCCAGAAGCTCCAATGCGAACATTTCAGAGTGTTTGGGTGTCAATCTGAGGACGGTGCAGAGGATTTGGAAAGAGTTGGAGTTGGATCTAATGGTGATTATGAAGGTGTTTGGAGTGATCACTAATGATGGCAACGTTATGCCGCCATTTATCTTCCCACGAGATCTCAGACTCAACACAAAGGCGTACATCAAGTGCTTTGAAGACGTAGTGCTGCCCTGGGTCAAGAGGATGGCTGCTGGATAACCCTATGTCTGACAACAGGACGCCGCACCATGCCATACAAGGAGGAGAATCTAGTCGTGGCTGTCAGACAATTTCTACGACCATATCACCCCTTACATCTGGTAACCTCACTCCCCAGACTGCAGCCTCCTTGATTATTATGTGTTTGAGCAGCAAATTCCTTGTAACATCAAAGATTAACTGAAGGCAAGGATTATGAAACCGTCCAGAAGAGTTGCAGAGGATTCCGAAGTCGTCTGGTTGAAGCCAATGGCGTTTTTTATGGAATTTATTTACTCTTTAGTATTTCAAGATGTTTTTGTGTAATTTTAGTAAATATATCTGTTAAAATGAGATGTCAGTGTTATTTTCATTTTTGAGGCGAACATTAACCCATCGCACCCTGTAATGGTTGATAGGCTATTCTACAAGATTTGTACGCTAAACTATATATATATATATATATATATATATATATATATATGTACAATTTTTATTTGAGGTAATGTATTTTTATTTATTAATCTGACAAATACCTCCTGACGAGTGGTCCGAACAATTACACAAAGATTCATCTTCGAAAGTTTCGAATGGAGGTGCTTAATATAATAGCACTCGGCTACAGACATATTTATATTAATCCTTTATATATATATATATATATATGTGTGTGTGTGTGTGTGTGTGTGTGTGCGTGCGTGTATGTGTATATACATAAAGGGATGAGTTTATAGTAGTACTAACGAGAGAAAAGTGTGTATATTTGTTGTGGATTCCGGGTTGAAATCCAGTGCCAATAAATAACAAACACCAGGAATTAATATATGAAAATAATGTATTAAGGCAATAATACAAACTGGTAAAGCAGGTTAGTCATTCCGGGAATACGGATTAGTAGCAAAATATATATACAGTCTTTGGTATTGAAGTATCGCTGTATGACTTCTTACTGAGTCTACGTGCTCGCTCACTGTGACTCCTACCACACTGTTACCTAACCCCTCACTCTTCCGGTTACCCACAATCCTTTAATCTGGACTCGACTCCTCGGTCTTGCTCTCGTCTTACTCATGGATCTTCCCGTAGCAGTAGTATATGTATATACTGGGTGAGTCCATTTGTGTAAAAAGGGGTGGACCCCTCAACAATATTAAAAAGAAGAGAGAAACCACAAGCGTTTTTGGTTGTAATGTGGATGTTTTAAAAAATATATTATGCTTTATTTTCCATATTTTTGCTACACGGGTTTCCGGTCTCGTGACCTTCATCAGGTCCCGCGACCTTCATCAGGTAATATTTCCACATATTATTAAAAATAATTAATTTTTTCTTATGTTTTTCGATGTTAAATATTCTCGATATGAGAATTCTCTTTTTTGTGTGTT